TAATAATAATAATAATAATAATAATAATAATAATAATAATAATAATAATAATAATAATAATAATAATAATAATAAATGAATCTAACCGTGAGATGAATGTGGAAGTTGTGCAAGGAAAAGAAAAAAGAAAAAAAATATAGCAGAATTATTTACCGAAATTTTCCTTGTTTATTTTTCTCCGAAATGTTTTTTTTGGATTGTTACATTATAATAAAATACTACCGTGTAACGTTCAAATTGAGTGGTGTGTGGTGGCTGGTTTGAATTAACTTCCTTCTAATCTTGTTTGTTTTTTTTTTTTATATTATACAAATAAATAAATTAGTAATTTTAATAATTATGTTATATTAATATGATGCATGTTACTTTAATTAATTTTATAATTTATATTTTCTGTTATATCCTTTTTTTTTCCGGTAAATAAATATAAATAAATATAATGGACCCATTTTTTTTTTTTTTTTTGACTCTTCTCTACTAACTATTTATATGACCATAAAAATATATAAATAAATATTCCCACTTATTTTTACTTTTTTTTTTTACTTTTACTTTTTCTCACAAAATTATTTTTCATAATTTTTTATTAATTTCTAAGAGAAATTATATGTATATATATATATATATATAATTAATTAATTAATTTGATAATATATATATTATTAAATAATGGAGACTCACTCAAAAGCTGACCAAATTCGTTCTACTACTTCTACTACTTCTTCTTCTTTCCCATTTTCTTCTTCGCTTTCTTGTTCTTTAAATGACACTCATCATATACAAAAAAATCATCAACCAAATATAATACTCGGTAACAAAAACAGTCCGTCGTCATTGTCGTCGTCGTTGTCGTTATCGCCGTCGCCGCCAACATCTTTATCAATACTTTTGAGTAATAATAATAATCATCATCAGCAGCAACAACAACAACATCATCATAATCCACAACAACAAAATCAACAACAATATCTTCCACCGCAACAAAATAATCAAGTTCGTCGTTCTTGTTCCAATACACCATATTATGATCGATCGAGTTTTGATCAAAATGCATTCATCTCAAATTCACGTCAACCATATCCAACTCCTTATGCCTCTCCTTCAAAACTACAACAAGCATCTTATGAACCAGGAATTCCTTCTTCTAATGCTGCTGCCAATAATAACAACAAAAAGATTAATATATTAGAAGAAAGTATGTCAATAACAACTAATAATGGTGGCAACAACAACAATAACAACAACAATGGCAATAGTAATAATAATAATATGGGAATTGGAGGAGGCACAACAACTGCTACTTTAAAAAGAACAAATAAAACTCATGTACCGAGCGCTTGCGTAAATTGTAAAAGAGCTCATCTTGCTTGTGATGGTAATTATTATCATATTTTTTTTCCCAAATCGTTTTCATTAAATATCAGTTTGATGCAACTATTTTTATTATTATAGTTGCAAGACCATGTAAAAGATGTGTAGCATTAGGCAAGGTTGATTCTTGCATTGACATACAACACAAGAAACGTGGTCGTCCAAAATTAAAAGATAAAAAACCTCATCCATATAGCACTCATCCAACTGCTGATGCAAGGTCTTGGACTGCTGCTTCATCCTCATCCACTTCCTCCACTTCCAATTCCACTTCCGCAACATCTACTGCTGCTTACAATGCCTCTGGTTCTACATCTATCACTTCTTCTTACAATTCAAGTTCCAGTTCCACTACTTACAATAACGACTACAACTACTACAACAGTAATAGTGCTAACCCCACTTCTAATTCAAATTTACAATATTATCCATCATCTACAACATCGGCAATGTATAAAGATAAGAATCTATATCATCCATATCATAATCAATACTATAATCGTCGACCATATAGTCATAATCATAATCATAATAATAATCATAATCATCATAATCATAATCATAATCATCATCATCATCAACGTTTTAAACCATCTCAATATTCTCATCCTTCTTCCACTTATTACAATAGCAATAACAATAACAATAACCATAACAATAATTCATCATCAACATTAAAAAATAATTACCATCAGAATAGTAATTCATCGCCATTTACTGCTAATAAATTTGAACCACGTCATATAATACAGCAACATTCTCAAGATCACATTGCAAGTAACAACATAATTCCTAATCATAATAATAATAATAGTAATGCACCAACAATATCAATCATATTAACCATTGATGAAGTTTCATGCGCAAAAGTTTCAGAGGATTCTTTGGCAACTTTGGGTTATTATCCTTTGGAATTGCTAAATAAATCACTTTTTGAACATGTTCTGGAACAAGATAAAGAAAAATTACAAAATCTAATTAAATCATTATTAGACAATGCTAATAGATATTATCATAATTCTAATAATGATGACAATCGCTATTATTACAATAATAATAATGATTATCATAATCCACAAGGTCATCATCATCATCATCATCAATTCAATAACAATTATTCACAAACAACACCAAAAATATCAGAATTTGTTAAAAGCGATGATGTATTCTTCTCTCAAGCTAAAGATCTTCATTGTCCTGCTCTCGGTGACACTATAATAGAGGTTGCCGACATGATTCATTTGAAACAAAGAAATTGCCAACATGATCTTTATAATGTCAGGATGTATCTTGGCGGTGGTTTGGGTGCTGAGTTGTTAAGAAAAGATACTTGGAATAAATTTTATGTCGTGGCTTCTTTCACTCGCGTAAAAAATGGCATTAATCATACCATTAATAGCAGTGGAGCCGATGTTAATAGTAATAATGTTAATAGTAATGCTAGTAATATTAATGGCAGTGACAGGCTTCCGCCATTTACATCATCACCAAATGGAATGAATATGAAATTCCTATTAAATTGAGAAAATTCTCCAAAATATTAACACAATCTAAAAACATGTATTATAGGAAGGGTGTGTCAAGTACAACTAATTTTGGGAACATTTTTCAAAACAAAAATTTAAACACTTTTAAAATAAAATCCATCTCAAATATACATTATCAACACTCAATAAAAGAAAACCATTAATATATAAATTAAATATATTTATCAAATGTAAATCTAAAATAGAAACCATTAAACATATATTATTTGCTATATAACAATAGTAATGATATTTATAAATAACAATAATACAATACCTGAATCCAAAATCCTTGCATTTTTTTAGGAGGCAACCAATAGACCACGAAAAATAAAAAATAAACACACACTCATTCATAGAATAACATTATTTTGTCAATATTTCAAATTCTTCAACATTCTTTATATAAAATAACTATTTATGATCAAAGTGTTCGCACAACTACTATTAAAATTAATTTTGCTATGAAAAACCATGTTGTTGGTGACATTATCACATAAGAATAAATTGATGGCCCAAAAAGCCTCTAAAGTAATATTTGTTTGTTTTTGAAATCTCCTCTTCCATTTTTAATTGAATTTTGCTAATTCTGTATCCAATAATTTAGTCAGTACGTATTCGGCTTGGTGTATTATATGACTATCTTAATGACTTCAAAGCATTAACAAAATTCGATTTTCTACAACTGATAAGGATATCATATAACATATAAAGGTTTTAATAAAAAGCATGGTCAATTTGTTTTTGTCTAAAATTGTTAGTTCGGTATCATCTTTAGTGGAAATAACATAACTATGTTATTTCCACTTAGTAGGTTATTTCCGCTCAGGTGTGACGACGAGATCACATGTGTGTCGTCACTTGAGTGACGATTGGTTCACGAGTTCGTCGTCACACTTAGGTACCCATGACCTATAAAAAAATATGACGACGAATTTGTGTTCATGTCGTCACACTTGGACACCCCCACGATCTATAAAAAATATGACGTCAATTTTATGTTCACGTCGTCACACTTGGTCGCTTTGATGGGTAATGGCTTGTATACCCTTTAGAGAGTCAAATTCGATATCAATAATGTTTTAATCACTTGTATAGATTTTCATATATCAGCCTAGTATTTCTGATCGATTTCCAATAAATATAAATATCCGAAGTAGGTTATGTGCGGGAAGAGTTTAGTCTAGGTTATTCTCACTCAGGTATGTGTTGTGACGACAGAAATGCGACACCGCCGTCAGTGCCCTTCTGCGTTTTTTATTATAACCCAAATTCGATAACATTATTTGTATACTGGTTTGGTTATCGTAACCGATTTCCATTGTAATAAAATAGCTGAGGTAGGTTATGCAACCGGGTTGGCCTCATCGCGAGTTTGACGGGTCGAATGCGATTTGCATATCATTTGTAGAGCAAATAGCCAGAGTGTATGCTATCGAGTATGTTATATACATGTTATTTGGACATGTTGTATACATGCTATCTGGTTATGCTATCGTGTGTGTTACATAATTACTATCGAAAAATGTTATCCGGTTATGCTATCAAAAATGTATTATCGATTTACTTTGCCCATAGTGAACCCTAGGAAATCCATCCTGGTTGCGATGATATTTCACAATGCTATCGGAAAATGCTACCAAATTGATTTCGCCTATGTTTAAGTCACATTATATTAAAGTATGCCGATTTTGTTTGCCGGATTTTTTTTGTCACCATGAAAAAATCTGTCTTCATGAAAAAAATCTCACAGTGACACTTCATGGTGACACTTTTCTATACCTCCTTGATATTTTTTTAGTTATTTTATCTATTTCCTGATTAGTTTCTTATATTTGTCACTATTGCCACTAAGAAAATAAAACTTATAGGAAAAAAAAACGAAACTTCTTCATGTACCTATATACGATATATGCAATATATACCTATGATATATATACTATACATACCTATGATATATATATAAAAAAGAAAAAAAAAAAGTAAAGAAGTTCGATTTTTCATAGGTACACATGGTGACATAGTGACACTTATCTAGTTAGAGCTCCAACTCTCTAAAAATAAAAGATAGCTATTCGAAACTGTCACCATGATTTTTTTTGTCACTAAGAATTTCATGGTGACAAATTTTTATAACTATATTCGACATAAAATAACGATATACCTGAACACTATGTATTTTTTCCAAGTTCCTCTAATTTTTGTGCCATTTTCTCCAGCTTTTTCTGTTGATATCGATCCCGTCTTCGATATTTATCTGCATGGGTATCGCAAAATTCATAGCTAGAATAAGTTAACTGACCACATTCTTTGCAAGGCACACGAATAGATGAATTTCGGTGAACTTTGCACCCATTTGGGTGATAACACCCCCGATCACATACTTCCCCACTTTTAAGGATATAAGGGCAACGATAAAATCCCATATCTATATATTTTTGGATATAATTGTAATTATCTACTGATAACTATTCTTTAGAATTAATTTTCATTTTGAACTTTTTTCTCCGGTTAATTATACCAACAGAATTATCATGCCTACCCAAAGTGAATATAGCATGCCTATTGTACCCGCATCATCCAATGTGCCAACCGTGAATACCCAAAATTTCCAAGAAAACATTGATCACGTGCCAGCAGAGTCAGAAGCACCACCTTCTCGACCAGAGAGCCCAGAAAACTCGGAAAATTTCGATCCAGAGATAGAGGAAGAAGGGAACGGGGCCTTCTACCACCCGGGGCCAAAGCTTTTCCTCAATCACAGATTTCGGAAAGTAAAAAAGTAAGCGAAGTATATCGATACAATGGGAGAGATTATTTACCAGTCCATCCAAGTCGCAATATGATAATTACAGAAATTGATGACTACGGATCAACGGCAACTATTAAACAGGCTTTAGTCAATGGAGAAGATGTACCTTTTATGCCAATTGACATTGAAGAATATAATGAATATATAAATAATATTCCACATTATGTTTTACGTATTTACGGCTATCTTGTTGATGGACAAAAAGCTGTAGTAACAATTTCAGGTATAAAGGTTTTCTTCGATATTCGCGTCCCCGATAATAAAAATATTGACGTATTTGAGATCGAAATAAAAAATATTCTTGCCAATAGAAAAGATGAAAGGGGGGTCGTAGATATGACAAATCTCCGGACAGAACATATAAAAGCTTTTCCAATCAGTAGATATTATAAAGAACAAAAACCTTATATTCGCATCGTTACAACCGATATTAAGCAAAGATCAATCGTTCTTGCAATTATTTTAAATTACAATTTAGAAATCGTGAATGAGCACAAACTGGAAACCGCCTCAGATGATTTGAGAGCATATTACCGAAAAGTTGCTCGAGAATATGGGATACCACTCTCTGGATGGGCTTTATTAACCAATTATGAATATAACAATGGTAGGATGCCTTATAGTGCTCGTTCTCCACTTTGTGAACACGCTTTCTATGTATCTATTAATAATTATCATTCTGTTGAGGATCCTACAGAACTATATAAGACTTATCCATCTTCACTCATTACTCATGATCGAGCATTAGTTCTTACCTGGGATATAGAAACACATTCAACGCTTGGATTAGACCATGTCCCTATGGCAAGATATAAAGAAGATAACATATTTATGATTTGCATGACTGTTCACTGGAAAGATGATCAAAACCATTGAAACAGATTTATCTCGTTGATATGGAAACTATACCAGATCCAAATTGGATAACGATTATTTGCGGAAATGAAAAGAATCTATTAAAGGCATTTGCTTTATGCTGGCAATTATTAGCCCCTGATATTGAACTTACATATAATAATAATGGCTCTAAATATGACTGGCCATTCATAGTAGAAAGAGCTACTCAGTGGAAAATCTTAGATTGGATGTTAACAAAAATGTCAGCAAATTCACGTAAAAAGACTACAATTGATAGTATCCTTCGTTGGAATTACTATGGAGGGGTAGGCGAACCTTTCCATAAAGATTTCTTTCATAAGGAAAGAACATGGGAAGTAAAATCGGAAGGGAAAAAAGAAAAAGATAATTATAATATCGAAGATAAAAAAATAAAGAATCGGGAAGGAATAGAAATTAAAATCACTCCCGACAAAACATTTACATCCACCTTTCTTAAAATTCCCGGATGTGTTCCAATTGATGTGATAGTATGTTGCAAAAAACTTCATCCGGATTCTGAGATAAATACACTTAACCATTATTTAGAAATCAATGGTCTCGAAAGTAAAATAGATTTATCTATAAAGAATATGAGAAAATATTATGAGCAAAGCAAAATCTCTACTATGACTGAAACTACCAAATATATGCATAAAATTGTGGAGTATTGTATCGTGGATGCTAAATCTTCTCAGCGTCTTATGGTTGAGAAAAATATGATAAATGACTATAGGGGTGTTGCATCCATTGCTTATATATCTTTATTCGATTCACACTATTATGCTATAGGTATGAAGGCACGTAATCTCTTAGGTGCTGAAGCATGGAAAAGAAATATTCTAGTTACCATGATAATGAAAAAAACTGAAAAAGAATCATTCCCAGGGGCTTATGTGTACCCTCCAGATAAAGGCCTTGAAGATAAACGTCCAGTTACAGGTTTGGATTTTGCATCTTTGTATCTGAGTCTTATTATGACTTATAATTTATCACCAGAAAAGATGGTATATACATTAACTGAAGCAAATGCACTAAAAAAAGAAAACAAAGTACTTCATACAATTGAGTTTGGTGGAACCATTCATGCATGGAGCATATGACATGAAAATAAATCTAACCAAAAAGGCTTATATCCATCTTTATTAGAATATTTACTCAATAAGCAAAATGAGATGAAGGTCCAATTGAAACCCCTCGGAAAGAAAATAGAGCATATAGGACCTGTGAAAAGTAGAATAAATTCTGAAGTGGATTCAATAATAACTGTAGACATCATTAAAGGTATTCTGGAAGATATAAAAGATGAAAAGAAACATATAGATGTAGCCAAAACCCTAAATTATTTTATTGGAACACCTTATAAGAATTTTATAGAAGAATATGATTCAATTTGTTTCGACTACAGCTACTTGGATTCAAAGCAGAAAGCATTAAAACTGTATATGAATTCATTTTATGGTGAAACAGGTAACAGTCTCTCACCTTTCTATATACGCCAGCTTGCTGGTGGTGTTGGGGCAGTATAATATTAAGCTTGTTGCAGAATATGTGAAAAAGAAAGGTTTTGAAATTATGTATGGTGATACAGACTCTTTATATTTTAAATCCCCCAATAATTATTATAAAGAATGTGATCTCACTTATAATAATGGTAAAGGTACAATCTCAAAGTTAGAGTATTGGATGGAAATGGTTGAAATTACCATGAAGGTAATGGAAAGACTATGTAATGAGGTAAATTCATTTCTTAGGTTAAAAAGCAGATCAGTTTACCTAAAAATGGCATATGAAGAGGTATTATTTCCCGTCTGTTTTACTGGTAAGAAGAAGTATTTTGGTATAGCACACAAGGAAGCTGTGAACTTTAAACCAGATGAACTTTTCATCAAAGGGATTGATACCATAAAACAAGGTAAGTCCCAACTTTTTAGAACTATAGGAGATTGAATCATGTGGGGAGTTATGGATAACAATAATGTACATTCACTCCATCAGATTGTTGAAGAGGTTCTTAAAGAGGCCATATCCAATCCTAAGCAATGGGATTTCGAGCATTTTATAGAGACAGCTGTGTGGAAACCCGATAAAAATAATATATGTGTCCAACATTTTATAAAATGGATGAGAAAAGAATATGAAAATAAGATTCCAGATCCAGGAGAATGCTTTAGTTATGTAATGATCCACCCAGATTCACTCTTTGGTTTATCTGGTAAAAAGCTCACACTGAAAAAGAGTGATCAAATGGAATTCGTGGATGTTGCAGAAGAATTAAATAAGGAATTGGATCTATCCCATTACTTTGAAAATACTATTACTGCACTTTGTGCCCAATTCATAATGTATGATAAAAGATATGAACCACCATCTACTGATAAGATTATGCAAATTTCTGACTTGGATGAGAAGTATAAACAGATTGATATCTATGCTCAAAATAAGGCCAAGAAGTGGCTTGAGTCGTATATTAAGGAGATAAATGGAATAGATTCTAAAATAATATCTAATCGTGGGTATGCCTATAAACATGCCTATAAAAAGGCAGTTAAGACCGCACAAGCTATATTACATTGGAAGATAGGTAATACCTATGAGGTATTTCATGGAGAACGGCTTAGTTTTGAGGATTTTAAGGCAACTAATACTGTCGAGAGATTATGGGAGAGGTTCATAGAGTATGCCAGAGCATATACTGAAAACGATAATCTTTTGATAAGTGAAAAGATAAAAATATCTATATGCTCCAATTTTACAAAACACCTAAATACACTCACCTTAATTATCGAGAAATATGATGCCTTTTTCCATCAATTAGTATATCACATGTGGTACAAAGAACATGTATCCATTCCAAATAAGATTGGTCCACCTGAGACTATGAGAAAAAAAGAGATTATTACCGAGCAACCTACCTTATCTGATATAATGAAAGCCGATCAAATGGCACTTGACAATTTTCTAAATATATGGAACAAGGCAGTCAGCTTAATATAAATATATCTTTATATCACTATCATGTATACATTACAAATATTATATTTTTTGTACATGAATAATATTGAAGTTTAAATAGATAATTCCTAATACTTAGTCCACGCATCCCGTAACTGCTCATTTTTCCTTTCCAATCCCCATGTATGTCTTAATATAACAAACCACATAATGGCAATAATTAACAGGGTAAGAAAAATATATGCCAATAAAGGTGACATCAAAGTGCTTACCATAACAGGGATTGCTCCTATCCCTCCTATTGGAGGAATCAGAGATTTGGCACTATGTGTCATCTGGGAATTCGATTCAATCAAAGAGGACACATTATTTTCTGGTTGTGCAAGGTAAGGAGTCATATTCGGTATTTCTTGGAGTATATTGTTGTTAGTTTTGTTAATATTGATTCCATCATTTACCTTGGGAGTAATCCCGGTATCTACTCTTGGAGATGAGGCATAACCTCAAATTACTGATTCCTTGGGTACAGGAGTTCTTTCATTATCGGTGTCATCCAGTATAATAGTGGAGCTAGTGTCAAGATACATAGTATCAATTTTTCCAGCTTGATTCATATTTTTTTTATGTATAAAATATTGACTGATATTTCTATCCGCAGAAATATTACTAGAATTCAATATGGAACTTTGTTCCCTGCTCTGGATATTTTTTTCGTTATTTCCACCAACCATAGGTACTGATATCACCTCTGATTTCAGATTCTCAAGAAGCAATTTTATACTGGTGCTTCTTTATAGAAAAATATGACAAAAGGATCAATAACTTTGTTGCTGGTGGAGTTAAGAAAAAAACTGCAACATCTATGGTATATCAAGAAATCAAACAGCTTCTACCTGAAATAACAGATGTGAATTTGCATCAAAAAATCCTTAGAGCTAGAAAATTATATAAATTATTCAATACATTGGGACTAGAGAAAATTAAACAGGTCTCTTATAGTGCAGATGCCATTTCAAGTCTCAATTACCAACAAATCCAAGATATAATAGATTATGTGAATTCAGTAACAAGTTCACACAATGAAACCATGAAGATTCTTCACAATCAGAGTCATGTGACTTCAAAAATTAATCTAACTAATACATATATTCCTCTGAAAGCACCCCAATCTAAGCCAACTTATGATTGATCCTATTTTCATAGCAAAACATTGGATCAATACCCTAATTTATATAAAGAGTGTAGTGATGGAAATGTCAATTATTATGGAATTACTGACAATACATCATGTCCATTATGCAGATTAGATCATGATGACATAGAAGGGGAATATAAAGATGGAACTTACCATGATATCTGATAAACTTCATTCCAAGTTATATAAAATATATAAGGAAAAAACTGGACTCAATCCTTGGATAAAGTCTGAAACTTCTGAATCCCCACAAAGCAAAAATGCTGATAATCATATCCTACAAGACAGTTCACTGAAAACTCAGGTGAGGGTCTACAGATGAATGTTGTACCTATATCACCTAAACAACAATTTCCAATTTCTGTTCTACCTAAAGGCCTGGAAGAGAAACAAAAACACGTTATTAAAATGGTATTGGAGTGATTTCCTTATTTAACTCTGAAACATAGCTTTAAAAATAATTACTTTGATTTTAATAGATCAGTACCCTGCCCTTTATGTAATAAAAACCATAAAAAAGAAAATATAAGAAATTATATAGAGGGTTT